TCCATGAGACCAACATGGCATTCACAATCCACCATTCTTCATAGTTTTCATCTCCTTCTTCTGGACAAGGGATGGATCCGTCGATGAATCCAATTTTCCGTTTTGCACGGAATGCAATTCTCATTGCACGAGCCCATTCTTCATAATTATCACCGTTTAGTTTGACTTGGGTGATAATTAATCCAGGTGTGTCTGCGTTCTTGAGTTCGTAAGAACTTCCCTTCGTAGGGATTTTTTCTTCCTCATTGAAAAGCTTGCCGACGAGATTTTCTTCTACTTCTGCCATGTCGACGGTCGAGGAGGATAGTCCGGCGGTCGATGTCGGTGATCCGGCGGAAGACAGGCTTGAACCGGCGGAGGACGGTGATGGACCGTCGTATGTCTAGATTAGGGTTTTTCCCTAGGAATCTTGCTCTGATACCATGAAGAAAATAATAAGAGGGAAAATATTCTGTATATTGAATTGTTCTGCTAAGTACAAGGAGTTTCTCCTTTATTTATAGGAGAGGATAAAGACCAAAACACAAAAGGAATTCTATTCCTACAAGGAAACAAATCACTAAATATGAACAAGGAAACAAATCAAGAGCAATCCCACTTAGAATGGGATTTGCTCTCCTTCTTGCCGTGTGGTCCAAGGAGCACCGCCCAACACTACAAGAAATACACAAATTTGTAATATAATTTGAAATGGTCATATTGCACCCAAATGGAAAATTTTTGTTTGGAGAGCGTTAAAGCACATATTGCCCACCACATTATTGAATCTTTATAATAAAGGAAGTACGTGCAGCCATTATGCCCTATAAAAAATAAGATACATACCAAATAATGTAGAGTAACACTATTAATAAATATGAACGTAGAAACCTAAATCACGAGAAAGCCATGCAAAGGGGGTGTTTTTATCAAATCTTGTTCACCTTATTTATCTTTTTTTTTTGCTCATTTGATAAAATAATATAGTCATATCACCTCTAGAGCTTTTGATATAATTTTTTAAATTGTATTGAAAGAGTAATTTCAGCTAAACATCATAAACAAAAAATAAGCGATTTAAATTAAAACAAAAAAAAGTAGTATTTTTGCCACAAAACTCGACACCAGTGTGCCCCACAGGCACTCACAAACAAAATGTGAAATTGTATGTGTGAAATTCATTAGTATCAAACTTAGTCTAAAACCCATATCATCACAAATACTCCCCATCCATATCATATTTGAAACAAGATTTAGTTTTTAAGAGACTTTTAAAAAGTTTGATCGAGTAAAGCATTTTGTTTACAAATATATATATATATATATATATATATATATATATATATATATATATATATATATATATATATATATATATATATAGATGGAAAAATATGAACTATACAATTTGTTAACGTTCATAAAACTTTAATTTGAAATGTGCCTAAAAAAATTCATATATAAGAGTATACAATATGTACCATGAAGGCTTGAATCCAACACCCATATATATACTTCGTTCTCATTCCAAAGACTATTTTATTGATAAATTGAAAATGTTGAAATATGGAAAATATATGTGATTGTAATTTATTTAAAAGGAAAAAACGTTACATTATATTGTTATGAATTACACATTCCCTTTCTACTTATAAAAAAGAAAAATTTATCTCGAGACAATAAGGGAATATACAAAATATATTTTTTGATTATCGTTTCCATTTCAGAATAATGGTCCACTATTTTTTCAGTTAAATTAAATGGCAAAATCAATACTCCCTCCGTCCCAAAAAGATTTACACATTTCAAAAAAATTGCGTCCCACAATCCCTTACTCATTTATATTAAAAAACCACTTTTACCCCTTACTTTTTCAAACCCTACCTATCACATCATACCTTTTTACTAATAATCTACACATCAAATCCTACTTTTACCCATCACATCAAGAGTATTTTTGGAAAGTCAACACAAAATTATCACTTCCTTAATTTCAACTTTAGTCAAAATGGGTAACACTTTATGGGACGGAGGGAGTATAATTTAAAAAAGCGTTGTATATAAGCAAATTCTTATATGCGCCCAAGCTCTACATTGACCTTCTCACTTAGTTGACAAATACTTATGTAACACTACGTAATATTAAGCTAAACGCTAATGAATTTGTGGTCTAGTGACACTATTATGACTCTTTTAATGAAAAATTATTTGTTCAAACCCGAATAAGGATGTTAACTCTATTGGTTTCAATAGGTTGAAAATGCATGGACAAATATTATCGTCATTATAGACTTATTAGTGTTAAAAAATATTAAGCAAAACATTTATGTTTTGAATAAGAAGAATTTGACTTAAATCCAAATTCAAATTTTTTAAGTTTCCCAAACATGGGATTTGAAATCCAAATCTGGATTTGAAATCCAAATCCATGTTCCCAAACATACCATTATTTGATTTGTTTTTTAATGCATTATACTCCCTCTGTTTCTTAAAACCCTTCCTCTTTCATTTTTTTTGTTTGTCTTAAAACACTTCCCTTTTCTATTAAAAAACCACTTTTACCCCTACTTTTTCATACCCTACCTATCACATCATACTTTTTACTAACAATTAAACTATCACATCTTACTTTTACTCATCACATTAAGGGCAAAATTGGAAAGTCAACTACAATTTAACACTTCCTTATTTTCTCCCAAAGTCAAAAGAGGAACTCTTTTGAGAAACGGAGGTAGTATTTAATATGAGAGCGTTAATGTGCATACGAACTGAGGCTGTTTGGCAGTGTGTTGCTTTTAATCATTTAGCTTCTGCTTTGAGTAGAAGTGATTTTACTCTGTTTGGCATGTCAGCTTCTAATTTTCACCACCACTATTTTGTACATAGAACACCGTTTCGGAGAAGCAGCTAGGAGGTGCTTTTGTAAGTTCGTGGGGTCGCAGCGGAAATCACCAATTAAGAGCTATGCAAACAAATCAATCCACTATGCTGCAGAGAAGACGCTGCAGCACTGTCACAGTAACACATGACGGACAGTGTGCTATTACACTTTTCTGTCACAAGCACACACAGAAGCAGATAATGCAGAGGGTGTTACTGCGCCTACTGGACAGAATGCTGTAACTATAAAATGCGTAAAAAAAAAATAACACCAGATATGTTTACGCAGTTTGGAGAAACTCTCCTAATCTGCGGGGCCCACGTCCGTGTAATAGCCCTACACTAAATCACTAGATGCAAGTTACACCGGTACATAACAACATGATGAGACACCCTTCTCCGAATTGTTATGACAAAACTTATAATCTAGGATTTCTAACCCGAACTCTGTTCAGATCCGCTTTGGCTATCACATCTCCACCGAGATCACGAGGACAAACGTGTTGGCAGCCCTCTCCTTAAGCTCTGGTTCATCTCCTGGTTGTCACGATCTGTTTAGCGTTGAAGATCTCCTCCTTCATGTAGATCGTGACCTTCTTCACGCATGGGAAGCTCCGGCACGCGACGGGAACGCTCTACATCAGCGTATATTCTATATTTTCCCTCTCAATCGCTCCAAGTAATTCCCAGGGACCTGCTGCGTATTTATAGGCTTCTCTCAACACAATCCTAGTAGGAATAGGATAGTAGAATTTGGCTTGAACTCTACTTCCTTATTCTTGATCCACAAGTAGCCTAAAGAGTTGGGATTCCTTAACATGTACAGCTGGAGTTATTATCATGTAATCACAATCCCAATAGGTCTCTAATTCAGATTGCAGCTTAAAATCCCGTGCTTAGACCTCTGATCCCGCACACTGTGTTGCAGCATCGTGCTGTAGCATCTTCTTCGTCAACCTCGAAAACTACAGCAGCTCTAGAAGTCTAAATAAAATAAACCTCTCCTAACAAATAGAGGTTTCTACCTAGTAAAACATCTAACAAATATGGGATTCTATTTTGCCAAAAGATTAGCCAACACCATGGAACTAACAGCTTTTGCTTTTAGCTTTTGTAGAAATCACTTTATCCATAAGTTAATCACTTCCAAACACCCTCGAAGTACAAGATAGGTAGATTACATGTTTCTTTGACAATTATTTCAATATTTAGTTTTAATTTCTTTTTTTGAGCCAACCGACGACCTTGTAGTCTAATATTCTAACGACATCGCTATGACTCTCTCAAATGGGAGATCATATGTTCGATCTCTAGTATCGGCAGTAACTCTACGAGCAGATATTACATTGTACAGAGTAATAAAGTTATTAGTCTTCAAAAAAAGTTTTAATTGTTTTACGAGTGGCAGGGAGCGTCAGTTTTACGAACGAGACGCCGGAGCGTCCCCGGGTCATCAACCTCATGTCATGGGAGGCCCACCCTTTTCACACAGGACGTTTCTCATGACATTGCCTGACAATATCATGGGATGACCCGGAGGCGCTCTGGTGCCCCATTCGTAAAATTGACGGTTCCTACCCCTCCCAAAGTCAAAATTAACTTACAGGGTGCAATTGAAGAGGA